AACCCCCCCCCCCAAAAAAAAAGATAACCAGTACTATTATGGGAAGAAACTGTGTTGAGCGGAGCAAAACTTCAAAAATTCATATCAGGGAGAGTTTTTGGGCAACAAAGACGCAACTGTGCCGAAGTTCATATTCTGTTCTACAGCTTACTCAGAAAACGTTTATGATCCGTTATGATGAGTTAAATTGCCTGGATGAACCTGTATGGAATGACCCTTAGACCCCTATTTTAAGCATAAAATTCATAGCATACCATCAATCACGTCAGCATCCATATAGATCTTCTGCTTCTGAATCTGCTGAAAATAACTGCTCTTAGGAGTAGAGGTGCTGAAAGAAAATAGTGAATTTTACTATCAGGATTGTTGGAGCTAGTGCTCAAGTTTCTTCATTTCAAAAATTACAAGATAAACTACTATCAGGCTTAGTGTTAATTCTAATTTCCTTTTCCTTACCTCAGTTGATAAATTCAGCTGTTGGTGGGAAGCATCTCAACGTTCTTGTTCTGCAAGAGGCTCCTCCAGCTAACTTGATAGGCTCTGAAGTCAACTCCATACCAAGTATGTTTACCCACTTTTAGGATGGACATAATACGTGATGCCTTCATTAGAACGGTGAAAGTGTTTACAATGTGATGGTAGATCTTCTGACTCCTTTAAAAAGAGGATCTCGATTTTTGAGGTAATAAATATGGAATACTTAACACAGGTTAGACCATATGTAGGGGATATGATTCATCATAAACACACTCCATAAATTATAAAATGCAGGTTCTCCCTCCTGATTACAATTGAGACCTTGGGTCTGAAGATAGACGTAGTCTATTTATAAAAATAAATAAGAGTCATAATCTGTGCCTCTTAGTAAAATGTATGATGAGTCAGTCCTACGAGGACTTGCATCAGTGTCAGGAGTGAATCTAGACCAAGCCACAGAAAAGATAGACAAGGATTAATTGAAGAGTGCCTGCTGGAAAATCTAGAAAGCAGAGATAGGCGTTCATGGGGTGTATTTTTACATCAAAGCCTTTCGCAAAAAAGTAGGTTAAATACGTAAACAGTGGAAGATTGACATCAGATATAAAATTGTTCCTTGATTCCATGGACAATAAGTTAGAACCATTTTACAATAGGACAGAGGATTCACCACATTCATTCTAGAGTTCCTTTCAATTCTAAAATGAATAAGGTAGATCTCTTCTTTGGTCTGAGTGTTCACTTTGAGTTGGTGTGGACTCGATGACAAAGAGTATGCTTCAGCACCGACAGAGTCAGCTAAAGACAATGATCCATCATCTGCTGGTGGAAACCGCTGCACTAAGAAAAAGGACAGTGGCTTAGCACTGTGTTTAACAGTAACTTTTGTAAGGGACATTCACAAGACATTATTGTAAAAAAGAGATAGAATTTTGCATACTCACTTGTGCTATTTGCAAATTTTATGGAACGCTTTTCAGGGTTGTAATTGCCCCATCATCAGTCGGCAGCCAACTGCCAAAAAGTTTGCTGCCAGCTGTTGATGGGGCCATCCTGACCCCGAAACGCACCCCATAAAATTGTTAAATAGCGCAAGTGAGTACGCGAAATTTCACCTCTTTTTTACGGTGTTTTACATTCTCCTCAAGCAGTAATCAATGAGTAAAAAACATCAACAATTTGAGGTACTCTCCTTGGAGTGATTAGGAAGTAATTCAGATCAGCACAGCAGTGTACCTATAGATTTCGTGATCATAATTTTATGTATAGATTTACTCTGGATGGAGTATAAATTAATGAAGTTGAACTTACGTATGTTGGAAATATCCAACAGTCGTGTCTAACCGGAAGAGCTTGAGGAAGAGAGAGATGAGAGAAGAGAACGCAGAGGCACAGAGAACGGCACGGAGAAATTGAGGTTAGGATACCGAACGACTTTGACTTCCAAAGAATCGATCGCTCGAAGCTCGATGCTAAATAAAGTCAGAGCCGAAAGTTACAGTTTGGCAACAGGGGCAACAGCCTCTGATTGATAACAAGACGATTACAAGTTCTGCAGAGACAATATCCCCACGAGGAGAAAATCTCACACATGAGGGGAAAAATTCTACACAAGAAAAAAAATCACCCACGAGAAGGAACATCACGATCCACACAAGAAAAAAAAATCACACACAAGGAAAAAAATTCCCACACATGGGAAAAAACCCCGCTCGTGAAGGGAAAAAAATCCCACACGGGAAATAATTCTTTCACAGGGATTTTTTTCCTTTTAGGCACAAACGGCCAACCATAGAGATGAATACCAGATCAAATCAGGAAAAATCACTGAAAAGCACTCCAACTTTTCAGAGCAACGGGAGGACTTAAATGTAGCTTGATTGTTCTGTTCATATTTTTCTACTCCCCCAATTCAATTTTCAGTGTCATTTGAAAAGGACAGAAAATTATATTATTTCCAATGATTTCATTGATACTTTCTATTTCTATGTAAAAATCGAAAGAGGTAGGTAAAACTAATCATTCGATCAACCATTAAAAAGAAAGTAATTGTCTCTTTAAAAAATTTGGCATCTGAGAAGGAATGAACGGAGGCTTTATTACACAAGAAGCCAGCCCAGTGCTCATCTTATTAAACTTCCATTGAGCTTCAGCTTAGTGCGCATCCTTTACTTAACTCAAATTTTCAAAAACCCATAACTCTGAAACGAAGACACATTTACATAAATGGTTGCACAGTGAGCACTGTTATGTTTGACACCCTCTTCAACAATCCTGCCAAAGTTGATCAAAATCAACTGAGGGCAGGTTTTGATCTCCTTGTACATGATATAACTGCCAAAAGCAACAAAAAGAATTCCAAAAACCGAGTTGTGTTCATCATTCTGATCGGATTCAATACATTTTGTGTCATCGCTAGTCTGTAAAACAATACTAATAGATTACCCCTTAGATTAGATTAATATTTTTCCCCCCCAAACCTCTATTTTGAACTCCTGATCTTTAACTCCTTATGGTTTTACTGTGATCTAATTTAATAATTGAATTTGTAGGAGAGGATCCAAGGAAATGAAAAAAATCATTTATCTCCTTCAGAAGAGTCATCATTTTACAAAAACGTAGAGGTATTACTGGTTGAACCTCAAGGAACTCCAGAACAAAAATTGGCACAATGTTTGAAAGAGAGCAGTCTCAGAATTTCTCCCAATGTCAGCAACCCTGCACAGGTAATAAACTTACATTATTTCATCAAAGATTTAACTAATCACTGTTTTGTCAAATTTGATTGATATTTTGATGGTTGCAAGACAAAACTGTGCTGAAAGCATCCTGGGACTCTAATAAATTATGGCAGTTCGTAGTGGCCTTCTCCTCTTATTCTTACAATTGCTGGAGTTTTCTGTATAGAATTGCTCAGAAAAAAAACTTCAGTTACGTAGACTGAACTTGGGTTATGTGTACTGAATTTCAGTTCATATGGAACACTAAAGTTTTTGACCCAGGTAACCAAAGTTTTCGGTCCCAGAAACCGAACTTCAATTAAGATGATCTACGTATTTGGTAAAGAATACCAGTTGCAGTATGACTAACAAAAACTATGGTCACCTAAACGGAAGTATGTTATAGTAAGTGTTTGGTTATTACCACCTAATTACAGAAAAAATTGCGTTTTATTATTAGCTGATGGCCTTTTAAAAATTACATTTTTGTCTATTTCATTTTCTAATGCCATAGATATTCCCGGAGAGAACTGAGAGAAGTGAAAAAAAATGCAAGGAGGTGCTACAAGTGAACACTTCAGAGAATGTCATGGTAAGATACGCCCATTATTTTTTTTTTTTTTGTTATTGGAAAACACTATTTCCATGTCTCAAAAGTGCATAGCCGGGGGACCTCTGAATTATTTTTAAACAGAACTGACTCTGTATCATGTGTATTTGGAATTTTAGCTATCATATACCTGAACAGAGAAGCTATCATTTTTCAACAAAAACAAGTCAGAGTGTATGTTTACAATGGGCCTGTTGCAAACTTTTGCTAGAGCAAAACTAAGAGTTGTTTCCTACAGATAATGCCTCAAAAATCACGATGAGCGCATCGGCAAAGTCTGAAATGCACTCATAACTTCACAATCTGCGTAAGAAATTTGCGATTTTTTGAGCTTCCCGCTTCGAAAACGATACTACGGTACAGGTGAATATTTTGTTAGAGGAGTCGTTCCATTGGCGGCAATACTCATCATGGCCGACGCCAGTCCGCCAAAACACGTGTGATGGAACGAGATAACACCTAAACAGGATTAAACCAGATAACAATCGGCGTTTTTACGTTCATATTTTCCTCGCCCGCCTTAATTGACCTTGAGTTCTCCTCGAATTACGCGAGGAACTGCGCAAGCGTCGGCCATGATGAATATTGCCGACGATGGAGCGACTCCTCTAACAAAATGTTCACCTGTGCAGTAGTATCGTTTTTGAAGCGGGAAGCTCAAAATAACGCAAATTTCTTACGCAGATTGTGAATTTATGAGTGCATTTCAGACTTTGCCGATGCGCTCATCGTGATTTTTGAGGCATTATATATGGGAAACAACTCTTCATTCTGCTCTGGCAAAAGTTTGCAACAGGCCCATAGGTTAGTTGTGTTAGTCATATGCCTAATTCATTGGTTGATTCTCAGGTAGAATTTTGCAAAATGTTAATAAAAAATGAATTATTTTGCATTCCTGATTGGCAAAGCACGGAAAACAATGGTGAACGCAATCTGTCGGAAGAAAGACAGCTTACGACTGCTGTCCCAGCATAGGGCCTGCTGCTTTTTCAGCTTCCACAACATGATGTTTTAGTCTTTACTTGCTTGGAGTATTCTACATCTACTGCTTAGTCCCCAGTAAACACTGCACAATAGGATACCTCATAGTAGAGCAATTCAGTGGGAAAGGCCCTACTTGGCAGAGAAACTTTAAATGCTTACATTTTTTTAATAGACAACATTGAAGTTTGAAAATAGTTTAATCAGTTTTCTTAAAGCTTTTTTTTCAAAGAATTCCTTTTATAATTGGACGGAATTAAACAGAAAGGAACCAAGCCACATCGGGATTGAACCGTGAAAAAGAGGTTTAACGTTTGGCTCCTGCATAAGACTCAATGTAAAAGATAAACTTCAAGTTCAGTTGCTGCAAAATTTGCTCCAACAAAAACTGTGAATTCTTGGCGATAGATAGCAGAGCAGTGGTTGAGTTCAAAACCACTCATAACTCATTTTTTTCCAAAATGTGGGTTGGTTCCTTTCTGCTTAACTCAGTCCAATTTATGTTAGGGTACACTATTCTTTGTACACATGGTAAGATATTTCAAGCCCACTTTTCCACTGGCTCACTCTCTGTGAATGAACCGTGCCAGTGAGTCATCACAATTTCTACTCTCTGTCATGTTGGTTCCAGGGATTTTGAACTGCGCGCCTCAAAATTTGTGCCACAAAGCCAAATGAACTTACATTTATAACCTTGCTCTTGCCTTATGATTAGGTACTAGAAACAATGTATTTCAAGTGAATGTTGGGAGAATTTTTTAACAGCCAAGGCTCTTTTCATATTTCACAGGGTGAACATGATGATTCTGTTTACATTTTTGATGAAAACTCTCATGAAATTCCATTTGATCCTGATTTCCGTGATATAAGTGAGTTGTTTACGGACCTCCAGGATGTTTTTGATCGTGTGGAAGAACCATTAACAAGACATTCATCAACAGATGATGAGCAGGTTGGTGTTAATATTTTAATTTATTCTTAACTTAGAGAGAGGGTAGTTTCAAAAGAATCTATTTGCGCTCAAACTGAAATATACACGTAAATTGAAGGGCTTGGAGAACAAAGCGCATAAGTACACTTTTTGCTATTCTAAGTTTGTTCCAAGTATGTTTAAAGTTTCAAAATTACATTGAGTTCTATGACAGAAATGAAGTTTAAACTCACTTTTGAATGCTTAAAAAATTGGAATTTAACAGTGAATTTTTCACAGAGTATATTTCAAGACATATTTTAATTCAAATCATGAGTAGCCCTTTTTTCAAAAACTGCACTCATGTGCCCTCTCCTCAAACCCCGGTGAGAAAAGTTTACTTATCCAAATACTCCGGGTCAAAATAATGTTTCTAAAATAAATAATATCTCAGGTCTGAAAGAGTCAAGAACGAAGCCCATATTTCCTCACAAATTAAAGCAATTATTCTCAGTAATAGGTAAACATGCTGTTGGCGTAAAATTTTCCTAACTGTGCCTGTGCTACTGATGGAACTTTTTTTGCTTTACTTAGACCTATTTCCTTTTCTTGAATACGAGGGCTGTCCCAAAAGAAACCGGACTTTTGTCATAGAGGGCGAACCGAGCGTCGTAATGAAGTTTTCTTGGACTTGTTTGAAAGCTGATAAGCTACTGGAGATACTGGTTTTTACAGAATGCAAAAATTCGTCTTGGTAAGGAAACTACACGCTTTGGAATGAAGGAAAGTCAAACTCGAGTTGCGATTTTTGTCTTTATTTCAAGAAAAATTTAGATACAACTTAAAAAAACCCAGTTTTTAAGTTAAAAACTTCGTTGCTCTCATTCAAATGCTTAAAAATAAGGAAATTAACATTTTAAGCAGCTTACCAAGTCATCACCTTTCTCCTTCAAAATACTCGCCAGCTTTGTCGATGCATTTTTGCCACCGTTTCTTCAATTGGGAGAAACACTGTAGGAAATCCTCAGGTTTGAATGATTGCAATTCCTTCAAGGTGTTCTCTTGAATTTCCGGAATGGTTTGAAAACGTCGACCTTTCAAGGTAGATTTAAGTCGTGGAAATAAGAAAAAATCACACGGAGCCAGGTTAGGCGAATAAGGGGGATGAGGGAGGACACTCATGGCATTCTTTGCACAAAATTCGCCAATTTGGAGGGATGCATGGGCAGGTGCATTATCGTGACGCAGAAAGCAGGAAATCTCTCTCCAAAGCTCAGGCCTTCTTCTGCGGACATTTTCGCTTAATCGTCTCAGAACACCATTGTAATATTCGCGATTGACAGTTTCACCTTGAAGGAATTGCGATCATTCAAACCTGAGGATTTCCTACAGTGTTTCTCCCAATTGAAGAAACGGTGGCAAAAATGCATCGACAAAGCTGGCGAGTATTTTGAAGGAGAAAGGTGATGACTTGGTAAGCTGCTTAAAATGTTAATTTCCTTATTTTTAAGCATTTGAATGAGAGCAACGAAGTTTTTAACTTAAAACCTGGGTTTTTTTAAGTTGTATCTAAATTTTTCTTGAAATAAAGACAAAAATCGCAACTCGAGTTTGACTTCCCTTTATTCCAAAGCGTGTAGTTTCCTTACCAAGACGAATTTTTGCATTCTGTAAATACCAGTATCTCCAGTAGCTTATCAGCTTTCAAACAAGCCCAAGAAAACTTCATTACAACGCTCGGTTCGCCCTCTATGACAAAAGTCCGGTTTCTTTTGGGACAGCCCTCGTAGACATGCTTCCAAAGAACAACTAATATTTCGTGATTTGTTTGCACGAAAATAGGTGAACGATTCCGATGATGTACAAAACCAGGCAACATCTGAAAACTTTTTGGTATTTGAGGCGGTCAATCAGGATGATACCACCGCTGAGCTTATGGAAACAAGAGAATATTTACCCGAAACCATTAACTGTGAAGAAGTCCCACCTGAGGGTATTGCAGTTGATGGCGTAAACGAGAAAAATCATGAACAACCACCACCACCACTACAGGTACAACTAAATACCTCTGAATATCAGGGTAGTACTTAATTGTATACATTAGTGAATTTGACAAGTCTCCTTATTTGCTGTATAAGGTCATGTATGCACCCTAGTTTCTATTTCCGAAGTATTGTAGGAATGCAAATGATTTAGTACAATTTTATACCAAGAAATAAAAAGTGAGGTGTAATGTTTCTCAAGAAACCTTATTGGATCAAATACTGACACGATACAAATACTGTACAAGGTCTATTCCATTAGAAACCGGATTTCAGTGATAACCAGCCTACTGTACGTCCGAATTAGGTTTTCTTGGATTTTCATGAAAGCTGATAACATACTAAAGAACCCTACATTCACAGATTTGCAAAATTGAATCTAACTGTGTTGGTGCATGGTTCGGAATAAGGCAACCTCACCAGTGTTCTGGGATTTTTTAGGAATTTCTGCCAAAAAGAAATAAATTCCTCAGACATTGTTTTTGGCAACTAATTCAAACGAAATTCGTCATTTGTAAAAAATCACAGTACACTGATGAGGTTGCCTTATTCCGAACCGTGTACCGATGAAGCTTGTTTAAATTTTGAAAATCTGTGAATGTAGTGTTCTTCCGTATGTTATCAGTTTCCAGGAAAGTCAAAGATAACCTAATTCGGACGTAAGGTGGGCTAGTTATCACCAAAATCCTGTCTCTAATTGAACAGACCTCCTATTGTTGTTCCTTTCAACGAAGGAAAAAAAATTATAACATTGTTACCTTCCGGCCAAAGTATCAGAAGCTCGCGCCATGCTATGTTTAAAAATTTCCGCCGCCATTTCATTTTTTTACAGAGAAGTTGTTCGTTGAATCTGTTAGAAAATTTCACTGCATTCTATCGGCAGCACAAAGAAAATTCAGTGGAATTTTCGGACGGTTTCGTTGAACAATTTCTCTGTAAAAAAATAAAATGGCGGCGGAAATTTTGAAACATCACATGGCGCTTGTGATACTTTAGCCAGAAGGTGACAACATCATCAATAAGTTTATGAGCATAAAAATGTGATAACAGGAGGAACATATGATTTATCACTCCAACAAGTTTTGAACCAAGACTGTAACAATATTTCAAGGGCCATTAGAAGCTGCTCACTGCTAAATGTGAGCCTGAATTATAACTTCTGTCTGTGCTAGCAATATTTGTTTTTAAATATCAAAAGAACTTATTACTGGAAAGCTGCTTTACAGATTGGATTCAAATTCTAAAGTATTCTTAAAAAGACCAACAGGGTGTCTGCAAGTCCGGAAATAGTACTGATTTTTCAAGGGCGGTCCGGAAGTACTGAAAAAGTGCGGACATTGCGCAAGAAGGTCCGGAATTTCACTCATTTTTGAAGCAATTTGAGCGAGAAATTCAAATTTTTGAAATTTTTCGAATTTCGTCAAATTGAAGTACTTAAAAAGTACTGCATTTTTCTGTTGAGGAGGTACTAAATTTCTTGGGAATGTACTGGAAAAGTATTGTAAAAGTACTGTTTTTTGGCCAGCCTGTTTCAGTAGACACCCTGACCAAAGGGCATCTGAAATTATTCTTTAGGAATTTTTTCAGTCATTTAAAGTCTTGAAATTTACAGCGGTTTGATGAATATAATTTGTTTAACAATGTTACCTTCCAAATACTATGACCAACTTTTAACAATAGGCGTATCAATAACATTTATTTTTTCAAAATTTGTACTCCATGTAAGCCACAGTTTAATTGATCAAAAATTAGTTTGAGGGCCGAAAAATTGCCTGATTTGGAAGAAGTTCTGCAACAATTTTTACATCAACCAGAAAAGCACACCTACAAACACAATTGCAGAAGTCTGCTTACTTTTTCTCAGATTTTCGATCAATGTATATATTTTGTAATGTATTCTTTGACCCTCGAACCAGTTATTCAGTTATTGGTAAATCTTCTATGATATTTCTTGAGTGTAAATTGGAAAAAATATGGATAAAATACCGGGGCATCTACATTCAAAATTTTGTCGTTTTATTTGAAAAGTAACATATCTAATAAAATATTTTCATCAAAACTTTGCAAATTTCAAAGTTTAAAATAACTGAGCGAAAAAATGATACAAAATAGACGACTATTCATAATTTGCGCAGGTTTACAAAGATACCTAGTCAAAAAATCAATCAGGTCATTTAGGTCAATTTAAAAAATAACTCTAAGCCTGGTTGCGGAAATAATAATGTATTTTCAGGGCTAGTACCTACTTCTGCTTAATAGCAAATTGTTATTCTGACGAGGTCATTCACTTTATAGGATAATATCACTTGAAATATTTATGTGCTTTTCATCAGATGGTCAGGCAGTTTAATTTCCATGCAAAAACTCAATAACATCTTCTCTAATACCTCTACATTTTTCCCCTGTAGGTAACAGAGGTTACGAAGAAATCTCGAACTTGGAATCGGACTAATGCATGTCCATATTGCAGACCGTTCATTCTCATAACAAATTTCACCAGACACCTCAAAAGGAATCATGCCGGAGAAGATGAAGTACTTGACTTGGCTCGAATTGTCGCTGAATCTGATTCAAAAGAGGACTTGAAAATTAGAAAAAAAAGAAGAACGGAGCTCACTGAAAAGTTAAGACTGAAAGCCAACTATGCTTATAATGTAGCTGTAATGAATAAAGAAGTGGAAGGCTCACTCCTTCCAGTTCGACGATCGAATTGCACCGACTCTGTAATGAATGAAGAAAACCATGCAACATGTGCTTACTGCCAAGGTCTGTTTGCAAGAAACACTCTGTATCTTCATGTGCCAATTTGTAAAATGAATACCTCTAAAGATTTGAATACTTCAGGTACAAAAAGAAGAGTGCTAAGAACAAGTGCAATAATGTTATCGGCTGGGCCTAAGGAGGCTTCGAAGGAGCTGAAAGAATTGGTTTTCCCTCGCTTACAACACGGAGAAGTATCTCTCATTGCTAAGTCGGACCCTCTTATTGTTCAGTTTGCCTCCCGTATGATCAAAAAACATTTTGAAAAAGGCAAGATAAATTACATTAAAAATTGTATGCGAGATCTGGCTAGATTTTTCATTGAGATGAAAAAAATTGATTCCAATTTAAAAAATTTAAAAGCGTGCTTTCAAGTCAAGCAATACAACAATGTCATACTTACTATTCAGTGCATGTGTGGAATCGATTACGACACAAATAAAGTGTCCTCTCCGAGTGATGCTGCTCGATTGAAAGGTGCTATTGCAAAGTGTATTGATATTATCTATTGTAATGCACTAATGGATCAAACTGATCACGTGGCCATTAAATCTGAGCTAGATCAATTTATGCATTTACTAATACTACAAATTGGCAGTATGAGATTTCAGGTCGGACAAACCGGGCGCAAAAGCAAAACAAAATGCATAAAGAAGAAGTCCTTCCTGATAGTCAAGACATTTTGGATGCATGCTTAAAGATTGAAAAACATGAAGTAGATTTGTCCCGAGAACTAATGCGAAATCCTTCTAACTTAGTTTACAAAAATCTAACCAAGCTTGTCATCGCCCACCTGATTATTCTCGGACGCAAGCGTCCCGGAGAAGTGTGTTGTGCTGAGGTAAAAGATTTTAATAATCGCAAGAGTGCTGACAAGGAGAGCAATGAGGAGTACATACAAGTGTTGTCTGAAGAAGAAAGAAAGAGCTATGACGCTCTCCTTTCTTTCCACATTACCCAAGTAGCATTTTGCAATGAAAAAATTGCAATTTAATTGAAATAAAATTTCCAGATGATTTCAATTTTGTTGCAAGAAAATTGCAATTATTTTACAACATCTGACCCCCTCATTGTAAAAAAGTTGCAATTTTTTTGCAAGGAAATTGCAATATTGTCGACCTCTAAATTTCAACCCCTAAATTTCGTCTTTCGTCTAAAAAACGTCTTTTGATCGCCGTCGCGCGCGTTTTTCAAAATTAGCGTTGAAAATCGGTCGAAATTGTGAAAGTTTTTATTCGAGTATAGAAATATATGCATTTTTCAGATTATTTTTTTCTTTTTCTGATTGACATGAAGTTGAATTCACGGTCAAAAATATATTTTGTCAAAACTCGATCAAATAAAAAATAAAATAAAATGAAACAAAACTAATAAAAAAATAAAAAACAAAATATAATAAAAAATAAAAATAAAATAAAAATATACAATAAAAATTCTTCATTTAAAATTGAAACAATTTTACTCCTCAAATTAAGAGAGAAGGAGGGAGAGCGGAGAGGGGAGAGGGAAGCAGGGAGGGAAGTGGGGAGAGTGAGAGAAAATCACACTAAAAATTAAATTTCAGCATAATGTAAATTTTAAACCATTTCATTCGCGCGAAACAATCGGCTAACTCAAAAACAAAATATAAAAAAAAAAGTAAGGAAGTATTAGGTGAGACATTTAAGTCGAAAAAACTTTAAAACAACTAGAAAATTGGATGCCAGGCACATGGCGTGAATTTGTTACAACATGATTGCACCAAAATTGCAGTCTTTATAGTGCCTTGGAAAAGAAGGTTAGGCAACAAGCATAACCTCCATTTCTTGCAAACTTATTACAATAAAATTGCAACTTTTTAAGCGCCTTCAAATGAACGTATAGGCAACAAGCAAAAATTGCAATCAACTCACAATCCATTGCAATAAAATTGCAATCCATGCTACTTGGGTATCGGGAAAGGCACTGAACCTGTTTGTGTGATATTAACCCGTAAAATGGATGACCTTATCAGATTACTAATTCGCTATCGAGAAAAAGTAAGCATCGACCCCGAAAATCCATTATTATTTCCAAAGTCGGATTCAGAGTTACTGTACGATGGATCTAAATGCATAGACTACGTAAAGGATCTATGTAAACTTCGAAAACCAGTTCATTTCAATGCTATTGGTCTAAGGCATCACATGGCAACCAAGGTGCAGTTAATGAATAAAGGAGAGCAGTTCACAGAACAAGTTGCCAGACAGTTGGGCCATAGCGTCAATATGCACAAGAAAAACTATAGACTTCCTCTATCAGTTATTCAACGTGGCATTGTAGGGCATGAGATGCTGAAAATGACAGGAGGTACCTCTGTTGCCTCAGCTCCGACTGGTGAGTCAAAAACCCAAGAATCTGATCGCATTAATCAGTGTGATATGAATAGCGCCAATCTGAATGAGAATGTAGAAACTTCTGAAACTGTCAATGTCAGTAATGTGTCTGCTTCAAAGTCAGATTCAGAGTCTAGCGAGAGTGATAATGATATTTTGAAAATTAAAGAAAGGTTTAGAACTCGTAAGGAAAAAACCAAAAAAGCCTCTCAGGAAAATCAAACTCTGAATCATTCTCTCCCAGCTGAAACATTTACACATTATTCCTCTGAGTCTGAACTTAGCAATTTTTCTGAAGAGCTTGACGTTCAATCAAAAATAAAGACACTGAAAAAAATGAGATCTGATACTAACTCTCTGAGCAAAGTTAAACGAACTCCTTGGACTCATGAAGAGAAAATAGCTGTATTCCGCCACTTGTCACATTGCATAATTGCTGGTAGTGCAGTTCGACAGACTGACATTCTTAAAGCGCTAAAGGAAGAAGCACTGTGTAATCGTACTGTTGCACAAGTTAGGACTTACCTAAACAATATCAAAACACGCAAGGTTGCATTTCCAGCAGAATACTTAAGCCTGTGAAAATCCTTTGGAAAAAGTCAATTTCTGAAGCAATCTTCTATTCTTTTTAATCGAAATATTATTATGTGTGCTTTCTCTCAGTTCGGAGGTTACCTCTTTAAAGTGATTCATGGTGATCAAACCACGTGATTTATCAATGGCTATCTACTACTAGGGGGCTACGCCCCCTGGCCGCTACGCAGCCCAACCCCCTGAAGGCGCTCCGCGCCATCAATAGGCCGCTTCGCGGCCCTATTTTTACCCTCCTATCAGTGTTAGTTTTATTTTTCCCCTAAAAAATTACGATATGAGGCATACTTTAATTTTAAACTTTACTTAAAATTACCTTAAAATTAAAAGGACTCGTTTTGGAATGACTGCTTGATGAAATATTGCAGTAAAACAATGAACATTTTTAGTCAGGTAATAATTAAGACTTCATGAGACGGGGATCGAACCCACACCGAGTTCACAGTGGATGCATTCGACGTCTCAGGCGACTCTGCCACCGCTCGACATGAGGTCGCCAATGCGAATCTTGTGTAGATAAGTGTAGAGCTGATGCGCAGGCTACACAGCTACTGCGCAACCTCCTCGACCACTGCGCATCCTCCCGCGCATAGCGGTAGCAGTACCGGAGCATTCTGTGAACTCACTCACTTTTATAACGTGATTTTAAAAAAACCTGGGTCCTTTTTCCAAAATCTGATTACAGCAGGCTCATCTAGGGCCTATTACCTGTCGATTTACGCAAAAATCATGGAAATCGGCCCGGTAGAACGCTCAAACGAACTATGACAAAAAGTATAAATTTACATTGTTTAAATGGGAGAATTCGCAACTTTACCACGTAATATAAAAAAACCTGGGCCATATTTTGAAAATCTGAAAAGAGTTGGCTTATCTTGAGACAATTGCCCGTCGATAGCCGCAAAAATCATGAAAATCGGCCCGGTAGAACGCTGGAACTAAGCGTTACCAGTTTCGCAAAATTAGGAGGTCTTGGAGCTTATAGTATAGATATACGAATGGATTTTTTAATTTTTTTTTTTGGTGGATAAACTGGAATCATCAAAACCTGTAGCTTAATCTCAAGAAGATATTTGCAGAATTGAGACGTTTAAATTTACATAATAAGAGTGTTATTACAGTTGAGAGCTCTCTTGCTGCTTGATCTATAATATCGCACTGTGATGGTGCTCTCTAGCAAAATGGATTGGAACTTCCCAGTTTTCCAGATATCTTCTTCAGAACTGTTAACAGACCCCAACCATGCTCATTTTTCAGAAAAAGAAAAAAAAAGAAAAAAAAAATCTGGTGAATTCCCACTAGTTGATCAACCTCTAAGATAATTAAAATTCCCTTCATAAGTCCCTTTATAAAATTCCACCTACATAAGTTGAATGATTAAAGCTTTTTCACAAAGTTCTTCCTTTCTTGGAGCTAAATATCATTCTCTTTGATTTTTCACCTCTTCATTAATGTTTCATATTCTTTTACGTTCAAAGTAATTTTTCTCATATAATGTAGTTTACTTTTTTTTTGTTCTGGGCTGGATACTTACTTAGAAGACTGAGAAAAAGTTTCCTTGTTTACCTATTTTTTATTTGTAGTCACTTACATATCCTGTTCATGTTTAATTTTTATCTATGTTAAAGGTTTCTTCTTGTGTTTATTTTTGAGTGTTATTAATAAACAGGGTGTTGGAAAAGTCCCCGCCTCCCCATCCCCCTCCAACTTTTTGAAAGATAAAAGAAAATTCTAGGAGAATGTTTCTATCTGAAAGGGAACCATCTTCTCGCGAGGGAGGCGGAGGGTCAAACTTTTGACCTTGCTCTTCAGGAGAGGGGCCCCAACCTTTTTGTTTTGGTAATTTTTTCCATTTTATTTTTTTCTACTATAATTGTAATTGGAGTTATGATATCTTATACTATATCTAACTTGGTCCAGAATCAAGTTACCAAGTTGCGGTTCGGGCCAAAATTCCTAGTTTTCAATACTACTTCGTAGTTATTGTTTAAAAAAGAAAAAAAAAGGTTGGGGACTCTCCACCCAAGCAGGGCTGGGGCACTTGTTAAGATTTCATTTTCCTCAAGTTTTCTTTTTAAAATTAATGCCTAATGGTTTTTTTTTTTTTTTTTTTTTTTTTTTTTTTTTTTTTTTTTTTTTTNTTTTTTTTTTTTTTTTTTTTTTTATCAGGGTTAAATTATTTGGTAGTTGCTGCTATTTAACATTTAAATTCCTGAGTTTTTTTGTCTCTGGTGCAAAGTTTTGTGATTTTCTTTTGTGTAATGACAAGCTGGGCTGTCTATGTTTGCAACTTATCTCATCTGTTACTCGCCTTTTCTCACAGAGTTCAGTCATTATTGTATGTTTAAGTTTAATTCACCTATAATAAGTTTTTTCCTGAACTTTATATTTTCCTACTAATGATATTAATATTTATTTTTTTTCTTTCATTATTTTACTTTCCTTTTTATTCCTAACAAAATTCTACTCTGAAAAGTTACTCAAGAAATATGCAACCGTGCTAGATTGGAGGCCTTTAGTAAGGTTTCTTTTCCCTCAAGTTTTGTTATTAAAACTCATGCTTAATGTTCTTTTCTTTTTTTTTTGTAATTTTGATCAGGGTTAAATTATTCGGTTGTCTCTGCTATTTGACATTTAAACTCTTGAGCTTTTTCTATCTCTGGCACAAAGTTTTGTGCGTTTCTTTTGTTTAATAACTTTGTGCTTTTATTTTGTTTAATAACAAGCTGTCTATGTTTGCAATTTATCTCATTTATGTTACTTACCTTTTCTCACTAAGTTAAGTTATTATTGTATGTTTAAGCTCGTTTTACCTTTAAAAAGTGGTCGCGTTTTAGATCTGGTACTGAACGGTCGCTCCTCGTCTCGCTGTCTGAGAATTTATCGATTTCGTCGTGAAAGCGTGAATTTTCATTAGTGTAATTTATATCCTCGTGTGCACAATTTTAAGACGAACTTATAGGTGCTATCTTTTTTCATCAAAGTGCCCTCCAAAAGGGGGAAAA